TTCAACATGTAATATGGTTTGAAGGTACTTTCCAAAGGTGATGCATGCTGGCATATATATATATGATAAAATATAGTTTTAAGGTATGCTATATTCATGGTTTAAAGTATTTAATATCAGGAATAGAGCATATGTAAATATAATAGTGGACATTGAAGTCAACACCCAGAGACAGCAGTCAGTTTCATGCTAAATGCATCATCAGGCTTGATGGTTGTGTTCAGCATGAAACAGACTGTTGCCTCTTGGTGTTGACTTCAATGTCCACTTATATATATATATATATATATATATAAATGTGTGTATATAAACACACACTGTGTATAGAGTTTCATGTCAAGAACAACAGATGAGTGTTCAATAAATTGAAAGTTTTTATTGAACAAACTGCCACAGTGAATTGTTTAAAGTGCCTGTGCCCTGCAATACACACTCTTTCTGTCATTGCACCATGTCTTGTATTGGTGCGCTCTGTGTGACACATGTCCGATGATGCTACAATCATATGCTTTTTTCAATTTTTTTAATTGGAATTTTTCACCTTCAAGCTACATGCTGATCCCTGGCTCCTAAAAGAAGCTTCTATATACATGTGTGTGTATCTTTGGATGTATCCATATACATGTGTGTGTGTATCTTTGGATGTATCCATATTATACTATGCTTTTAGTAACTAATGATTTTTCTAAGAAAAAAAATTCAGAAAAATTAAAATAACTTTGTCAATATATTCAATGCAAACATTATTGCATAATTTCCCCTGCCAAATCCACATAGCCATGCTTGTATTAATAATACTGGAATAAATGTTACTTAAAAAATATACAGCTTTTAACTAAGATATTATTTAGTGGATTGCACTTAAAAGATGTCGATATGAGTAGTATTACAATTTTCAGCAAAGTCTATCTCTCTCCCCAGCTATGTTAAACAGCAAGATAGATTAGGCTCTTTAGCCTTGGGTAGAAACATGTCTAACAGAAGGAAAACTCTGAATTTTAAACTAAGGAGAAGGCAATGAGAAATTACTCCATTATCTTTCCTAAGGGATCATGGTGATTCAAAAATGAGAAAGAAAAGTAATCTGTTGAGAGCAATGATCGTCTAGGTCTTGAAGTGATATGACATTTAAAAGAGAAAGCATCAGAAAAATATTTCTTCTCTTCCAAAATTTACATAGCAAAATTTTCTTAACTAACAGAATTGAATGATAAATGGGAGAGAATCTATAAAAAGTCACCACTCTGGCATTTTTAAAACATCACGATATTTAGTAATATCATTAAAGGTATCAAGGTGTCATCCTGCCATGTTCTATCTTTACAAGATCCAGATCAAACCAAAAATAGAGTATTATTATCATGTCTTGGTTGAAGCTGCCCAATCCTTACTTTGCAGTCTTGACAGAGTTCAAAAGCATTTATATTTTGTCACAGACACCTGTATTCTTCAGATGTAACTGAATGCAACAGACACCTGATTTTTCATGGATAAGTGAATGCCATAGACACCTGCACATGGTTGGGATGAAAAGTTCATAGGCTGATTATGAAGGAGTGTCGCAAGAGCTGTCAAATCTTGCATGCATTAATTTCAACTCTACAAAGAACATAAGTTTGAAAACATTTTTAGAGCATTATTCAATGAGGATGATAGGAATAGACATTGAAATATGAACTAAAATTATTAACTAAAAATATTTTGTTTTTGTTAATGAAATATTGATTAACTACAAGCATTCTTTTGTTGTGGTTACTTTTATACATTGATTTGAATAAAACATCTCTGCAACTCAGACAAAATTTTTACACTCTTGATAAAATCTGTTCCAAGTTTTAATTCTAGTGAATACTTTTTCTGGTGGACATGATATATCTTTGAACAGAAGAAAATAAATAATACCTTTGTGATTGTAAAGGAAAGTATGGACCATTTTGTGCAGAGTCCTGACCTTAGAAAGCCCAATTCTAGCAGTTATCTGATTCACCCGCTCTTGAAACCTCTGCTGCCATTAGACAGAATGTCTCCTCATTGCAACTACTTGCCTTCACGTAACCTTTATAAATAAAATTTTATTAATACAACTCTATTTGCTGAAGGTTACAGCTACAGGCATTCTTGAAAACCTGGAAAATAAATTGATATGCCATTGTTTGCCATAAGACTATTAATTTAAATTAGATTAAAATATCTTTGCCAGAAATCTTTATAGACAAGATCTGTCTCTTTTGTTGGGGGATAATATTGATGATGATATATATTTATTATAAATCTACGTTTATCTAAGATTTGAACCACAGAAATTTATATTTCTTGAATTACTCCAGATAGGCATATGAATTCTCTTTCAATTACTTTTAGAGACACTGTTAACAAATTCACGTATCTTCAATGAATTACAATTAAAGGTAGAGACAAAATCAGTTTTCTCTTCTTGAACAATTAAAACTACTTACATTAAGGGATGTACACAACTTTTGTAAGTTTAAAAAAAAATCTGATTTATTTGGATATCTGAGCACCAAAGTCTTTTATTGCTTATTAAAGAGACAAATAAGATCTAACTAAAAGTTAAAAAAATGTTTTCTTAAATCTTTCACGAAAACGTTATATCTCTGGTGCTACTATAACCAAGTGTTACCTGCTGCATGGGCATTAATGACTAAACTGGTTCCCCCGTCAGGCTTTTTGGGTGAAGAGAGTGGCTAGATTAAAAGCAAAACCTGTCAAACCTCTCAAAGCCATCTAAAACAGTGGGGTAGACCGAGCTTCATGGCTATATATGCAGCCTGTGAAGTGATGATACATCATTGCTGGGTGGAGGACTTCTTCTTCTTCTTCTTCTTCTTCTTCTTCTGATGATGATGATGATGATGATGTTGTAGTAGTAGTAGTAGTAGTAGGAGGAGGAGGAGGAGGAGGAGGAGGAAATATGATGATATAATAACTTATTATGTGCAGAATATCCTGGAGTCATTCTCTTTACTTTGACCTGTGCTGCTTGACAATCTGGATATTGCAATGAAAAGCAACAGAAATTATAACAAGAGGAGTTTTTTTCTTTTTTACACTATTGTTCATCTAATGCAAGACCCAAGAGTAAAAAAAGTAGAGAACTCCTCAATGAGGTTGTTTTATGGATATAAAAGCAGGAGGTAAGAATTGCAGATTATGAGGATATGTAGGATAGATAGCAGTTGCCAGTGGATTGAAGAAGTTAGATTGTAGTGATCAGAGAAGCATGCTTTCAGGAGTTTGTTTTACAAAGTAGTGGCTCTTGGGAAGAAGCTGTAAAGAAAGAGCATTGGCTGTGAAGTAATTTCTCACTCGTCATAGTTTGAGAATAACTGACAATACTTCCTTGAAGAAATCCAAGTACAATTGTGTATAACAGTTATAGCATTTATTCTTGACTAGCAGTCGAGCCCGGCGTTACTCGGGGATGTAACAGTAAGAGATAGATCAAGTATCGATTATCATAAAAACTGAAAATAAAATTGACAAAGATTATTGTTTAAGGTTGATGGACACACATGTCTTAATTAGTTTTTTTTTTGTTTTTTTTTTACGAATTGGTCAAACCTAAACTCAAACAAAAACATTGTTTTCAATCGTTATGTGTCTATCGATTGAATAGAATTTTATTATAAACAATTGTCTTGTAAATGGAAGTTTTAAAGTATTCTGAATGTAAAAATAAAGAAAAAAGTGTGCAAGACAATGAGAAACACTACCTGCCAAAAAAAAGTGAAGTTTTGTTGAAATTGGTTGAAAAATGTAGAAAATCTGATCCCATATATAAATGAACACACACACACACACAAACAACCTGGGTTTTATAATAAGTATAACTCGATATGAGTTGTCTCCTTTCCTTCTGGTGACAGAATCATGTTTTATCGTGTTTTCAAATTGATTTTGTGCAAAAACAATTGTGTTTTTTCCAATTTTTGGTGCTGTCAGAACCACCGCAAGGTAATTTTACATAGTCCTGTGAAGTTTTGTTGAAATTGGTTGAAAAATGTAGGAAATCCAATCCAATATATAAACGTACAGACACACACACACACACACAAACACACACACACAAACATAATCTGCGTTTTATAATAAGTAAGATTACTTAAAATTCTCTTCTTTTTGATTTTCACTAAAAAAAATCATTTACAATACTTTCTTATGAGAAAATTGTCAGCTGAGGAGTTATATTACCTATTCTATCACTAACACATTTCATTCATGACCACTGATAATGCGTTTACTTTCAATTAACAAATTCAATCATGAAATCAGTATTTATATTCTGAATATAATCTCTATATTTTGGCTGTAATGCATTTATTACTTCCTGAATCTATTTTCCATGATTCCCATGAATCCCAATACATTCTAGAATAATATAATTTGCATTACATTTATATTATGCATATAAAAACCTTCTTCTCTCTGCATTCGATCTGTATATTGCAAAATAAAAGTTGTGAGAATTAATATTTATGAATAAATATTCATTTATTCATAAATATTAATTTTGCACAACTTTTTATTTTACAATATACAGATCGAATGCTGAAATTTTTGAAACCAAATTACAAGCCAAAATTTGAAAAATTCTTCAGTTAATCATCAAATTCTACTTTTAAGTACTAATTATATATATTTACTAGGCATTTTCAATTACTGCTAAAATACTCATATATTAAATTGTATTTCAATTATGGAATATGCCATAAATATGTTCAAAGTAGTACAAAAAGGGAAATCTTGAAATATGAAAGAAAAAAACATTGAAAAGTAAAATATAGAGACTATGTTCTAGTGCCACTGACATCAAAGTGTTTCAATGCATGTATAGTATATGTGTATGGGAAAAATAAGAAGAAAGTTTCCAAAATTAAGTCTTACCTTAATACTAGGTCATATCATGATTGCCATTGTGAATGTGCAAATAAAGAAGAGGTAAATAGCATTTTTGAGTTCAGTGCTGCTTTTATACCAAGATATCATGGTCATATCACCAGTTCCCATACGATCCCTGAAGTTAAGCAATGTCATGCCTGATCAGTACCTAGATGGGTAACTACTAAGGAATAGAGTATAATGGGCAATGTCTCAGAATTGTTAATGAGAGAGCCAGTTTCAGTTGGGTTTGTCATATTCTCTTCTTGTCATAACCTTACATGTGCTACACATTTTGTCACAAGTTTTCAAGTGATGTGGTTTGGTTATTTGGTCAAGACTTTGTGATTCTGAAGCAGCACCAGACTGTAAGGTCCTATGAAGGATTGTTGTATTTAAGACCTGAAGGATTCATTTGTTTGAAGCAATTTTTAATCAAATGCTGTAACTCTATACATATAATCATTTGAGCAAATGAAAGTTTTGGCATGTTTGTTTTAATAAATCTTACACATGGCAAAAGGGACATTAAAATTTGTATCAAAATAATTTGCAATGAATTTGTGAAACAAATTCCAATTAATTTCTGTAAATTCAAGTTTTTGACATGCACGCTTAAAACATCATGACATATTATATGTCTCGAGTAGATATAGAAATTCAAGTATTACATGGGAAATATTGAATATATAAATTTATTTGATATCTTTAAGGAAAGTGTAATATAAATACACAAAAATATTTGGTTTCCTTTAAATTCCTTTTCCCTTTTTATATGGAAGATTTGTATAAATGTTTCAGAGTAGACATAAAATGAGTTTGATTATGAAGAAATGACTTGGAATATTTATTATGCAATTATCAGGCACATTTCCTTTTAAATAATGGAAATATCTGCAGAAAAAATACAAAGATACACTTGTCTTCAGATCTTTGATCGGCTTTTGATCTTTTTCATGTCTTCACAATGTTAAAAACCCAATTCTTTTCTTTCCTGACTTTCAACAAATGCAAAATTTTCTGTTTATGCTTGGACAGTTTCTCTTGCCACAAGGTTTTGTTTTCTTCAAATGTAGTACCATCAGCCAAAGCAAGAAATTAACAATTCCTAAGCTTTCCTTTATAATGGCTGCAAACCATAAAAGTTATGATGCCTTTAATTTGGATATGCCCAAGAGAGGTTTTAAATTGCTTCTCGTAAGTGAAAGTGTGAATGTTCTTAACTTAAGAAAGAAAAACCATATGGTTGCTGCTATAAATTACCTCAAGAACAAATCCTCTATCGTTCACAACTTTTATTATAATTATTCTATTTTATTATAACCTATTTCTATTAATCACATATTATAACTGATTTATAAATTAAGCTTGATCATAACTATAAAAATATATAAAAAAGTAACATGTTTGATAATACTATTAGTTTCAGACAATCACATGATTTTTTGGGACATATCTCTTTTATGAGAGATTTCTTCTATGTGCTGTATCCATTCAGAAGGTGAGAAATAATGGCTCTCCAAAACTTCCTATACATTATGTAATGATTTTTCCCTTATTACCTCTCCCATTCCCTGTTCTGCCAACCATTTACACAAGCTTTGTTTGTGAGTGTTAAATTCTCCAAGCCCTCTTTCCTCATTATTTGTTCCAAAAATTTCAACTTTTCAAAGTATGTTTCTTTTTAATTTTTATTTTCCTTAAAAGTTACTTGTCATTCAAAGTTTCCATTTCTATTATACTCACCATCCTTCTGTAGAAAAAGAATCTGCTGCTTCTTCATCTGTGAGAAAATTGTCTAACATTGTCATATAGGAGGATTAATATTACACAGCAGTTCATCAATCTCACCTTTGTTCCTAACAATATTTACCTGTTTTTTTTAAAAAAGGCATTATTAACTGTTTTAATGAATCATCATATTATGGTATCATGTGTTAAAACACTCTGTAGATAGTAGCATTTCTGAATTTTGAATTTTGAATTCTCCGATTTGTATCATGCATCTTTGACTGTTCCTCTTGCTGATGATGATCCATTCTGTCATCTTACAATTGATGGTTAGTCTCTTCTTCTGACTTTCTTTTACTACCTTATCTAGAAGTTCCTGCAGTTGTCTTTTTGTGTCTAGCGTCAACACTGTATCATCTGCATATCTCATGTTATTAAGATTGTGCTCACCCACTACTGTATATATAAAGGAAAAATTAGCTACAAATACTTATATATAATATCTGACTGATATATTAAATGAAAGGAATTGATTTGGTTCATATTTCAGTGTTTATATGCTATATTATCAGACTATTACAAAAAATATTTAAGGGACAAATTTAAGAAATCTAATCAATTGAACTTTCTTGTCTGTTAATGAAAATTGATAAATTGGAATTTTAATATTTAGAAGTACTTTCATCTTTTATGTTTTTTAAAATTGTTCAATGAACAAGATAAATTAGAATCAAACTTCCAGTTTGCTTTTTTCTTCACCCTATATAAGGCCCAAGAGCCATTCCTGATAGAGGGCTACGGAAGGAATTTTTTTATGTAAGAGTATGAGGTAAGAGCTTTTTATGAGGATATGTGGGAAAGATAATAGTTAACCCTAAACTTGAACAGGTTAAGATTGTATAGGTCGAGGAATCATATTCTTAGGGACTGGTTCCACAAAGTAGCAGTTCATGAGAAGAATCTGTTTGAGTGGAACTTACTTCTCACTAGTGAAAGTGAACGTGGGTGGCTCGCCTTGATTTAGAAGGCATGGCAGGTTTGAGCTGTAAAGGTCAGAACTGGTGAAACTAACGAATGTAGCTAATCTACACATTTTCCATTTAAATAGTGATAGACTAGAAAGAGACTTGCAATGTTTCTTCTATAGGAAAGGGGCTGTAGGGTAGAAAATAATTCATCACCCACAAGGCTGCATCAGTGTCTTTGGTCTCTATCAAGACTGAAAAGTAAGGACTGGGCAGTTCCAGCAGCAGTACTCCATTTTTGGTATGATCTGGTTCTTGTAAAGTAGAAGATAGCAGGAGAAGTCATTTACTCACTGGAGTGGTACCGAAAAATGACCATTTTTTCGAGTACCATTAGCAAGTGCGATGGATAAATTGTCATCTAAATGATGCAAAATTGAAAATAACACTGACATTTTAACAGATATGTTTACCAAATTTGTATAAAAATATCTTGAAATACTAAAAATTAAATTTATTTAATAAAATCTCCATTGGTTTCAACCACAGCCTGATGACTTTGGAATTTCCTGCAAATGGACCATCTGAGATGGTCTCCTTGTTCAAGTTGGTGAATGCTGCCATAATCCTTGCCTTCAGTTCATCTTTGGTGTTACAGGGTGTTTTGTTGGACTCTTGCTCAAATGCACTCCACACATAATAGTCAAGTAGTGATGTGATCATGACTGGGTTCTCCTGCTTATGTGGCATGGTGCAGAGTCCTGTTACCAGACATAGGGTCTTCAAGCAGCCACCCTCTTGACCCAGGGCAGCACTACCTCCTCAAAGTACTTGATGTAGGCCTCTGTGTTGAGTCTGAGGCCCTGTGGGAAAATGAATGGAGGCATAATGTCACCATCACTCCGAACACCTTCGTAATCACCATTATACTCATCCAACTCTTTCTGAATCCTCTGCACTGTCCTTAGATTGCCACCCAAACACTCTGAAATGTTCATATTGTATCCTCCAGCATGAATGCCAAGCAGTACAGCATGCCATTTTTAAATTTCTAGCAGAGTGAATTGCATTATGGTGCTCTTTCTATCAAAGATGGTGCCCAACTGACCCTACTATATTTTGCAGTTGACAAAATGAAAAACAAACAATGCATATATGCAAAATTAAATTATGGTGACAATTTATCCATTACACCCTATCTCTCTCTCACTATATATATATATATATATATAATTATTTTTTATAAAAAAAATTATAACATAAGTATGTTATAAAATCACTACAAAAATAGCCATTTTGTTTCAACACACTCTGTGTCTTATCAAGTGATGATGTTGAAAATAAAATAAAAATCTAAATAAAATATATATATATATCTATGAGGCACACTCAAAAACAGATGCCTTCTATTTAGCTTGTGTAAATGGATTGAAGAACAGGGACTTGGAGGAATAGTAAGGGGACAAATATTACTTAAAACTACAAAGGATAGGAAGTTGTTGAGAGCCATAATCATCCATGTCTTGAAGGAACAGAGTAAACAGTGAGTAACCAAGAATACAAAGTTGTTGAGAGGCAGGATTTAATTCCCTGAATATATTGACAGATAAAGGGATGACAATGACACTGTTGAAAAGAGCATGTAAAAAAGAAGGACCAGTGTGAAGCATACTGGAATGTAACTTGTCACAGACACATTGCTTTTGCCATTGCTGAAACAATTTGTCTGACTCTGTTTGTATCCACTGTTCAGTCTCTATAAACATTTAACAAATACCAAATATCAATGAGTAAGATTTTTTACATACATCTGATTCATACACGCTTTCATGCCAGATGCTACTTTGGTAGACTGTTTTTTAGCTGCTATCTCTAACAAGGCAAAAAATAATCATGGGTTACTGACAGGAAGGTTCAACCTCTTATGCTAAACCATAAACATACACCTTTGTTATTATGGGCCAACATAATAAAAGAGGGTGCATTCATTTCAGACCAACCCATATATATATATATATATATATATATATATATATATATATATAAGGGTTTGTCTGAAATGAATGCTCCCTCTTGAGTTAATGCCAATGAGTTAATCTGTAGAAAAAGACAATATTTATAAATGTAAAAGACAATAGGAAAACTGTAATGGTTGACATCGGATGAAACACGTCGGCAACTATTACAGTTTTCCTATTGTCTTTTACATTTATAAATAACAATATATATAATATATATTATTATATAATATTGATGTAATGAATATGTATACACCTGTGTTCCCCCTCACAGGAATATGATTGGCTGGTGTCAGCCATAAATACAAGCTGATGTAGAGGTACAGGACAATGCCCATTGGACTATGCCATTGGCTATCCTATTGGCCTACACCTATTGATTGCAACTACAATGAGTACCAGTTCCATTACTGTTACTTATTAGATTGTTCTACTCGGTTAAAGTAGCCTAAACCACTTAGATACTTTGATCAAATATA